CGGCATGGCAGATTCGCTCTTCCGAGGGCCGCTGCTTTTGCTTTTTGATTTTCTGCACCGCTTCAAGAATCCACTCTGTGTAAAGTGGGTTTGCAAGTTTTACCATGGTTGACAAATGGCTTCTCCAACACAGACGTTACCCATAGAGGTTCTCCTTGTACTTAACACAACCTGCACATTCGAAAGTCACAATTCAACAAACAGGCAGAGGATCCCTGCCCAGGCCAAGCAACATCTTAGGGACAACCATCCTTAAGTGACCAAGAGGACAGCCAGGCAACGTTGACAGTTGTCTTAGTTCACCAATGGGAAAGACAGCACTCTTCAAGTGAAAGACATCTTTAGGAAATCAAGACCTTAGAGGACAAAAAAAGGAGAGAAAAGGCTCTTAATACCAGAACTTCAATAATAATAAGATTCTTCAGTATTGCTTTTTTCAGATGCAAAATAACACACTGGCAGGCAGGTACTGTGCAACCCGGCCGGCCAGTGATGACACTGCCCAACCAGATACTGGTCACAGTCTACAGAGGAGTTTTTAAAGGATTGTCCTTGCTTACATGCAATAACTTAAGGAGCACTGCATCTAAGATATAAATAATGCAATCCATGAACCCAGGAGAGGGCTTGGCAGGTGAAGGCACCTGCCCCAGCGCTGACAACCTGAGTTCAATCCCTGGGACCCACAAAGTGAAAGGAAAGCCCTCACTCTCCAGAGTTGTCCTCTGACCTCCATGTACATGCTGTGGTATGTGCTGTGCCTCGTTCCTTAAAGCACAAAATAAATCATTAAAATCTGGGAAAATGTATTCCTGTTATCAAAATTAATAACCACGTGAAAGCAGGTACATGTCTATCACAAATATAAGATAAATATCAACAAAGTTGAATACAAGCCAGGAATGATAATGTATGCCTTTGATTCCAACACCCAGAAGGCAGAAGCAGGCAAATCGCTGTGAGTTTGAAGACAGCCTAGTCTACACAGACAGTCCCCAGCCAGCCAATAGCTACACAGTGAAACTGTCTCAAAAGAAACAAAAACTTAAGAAAAAGTACAATAATCTTGAGTTGAGCCAAGTAAGGTATTTCCCAAGACTCACACCTGAGAAAATTCCCTGCCCAGCTATTTGCAGGGAATCAAGACACTTTGATGCTCTGCTCTGTGTAGCATCTGTGTGGGAGACCTTCTGCTGCACAGGTTAGCCAGGTGAAACTAATACAGTAACATAACCCTTCACCTTTAAATAATGCAGTGTTCTAGTTATCTTAACACCTGTTCCAGCTCATTCTACACCTCAACAGAAAGAAAATCCCCACAAATCTGACTCCATCTGGCCAGGGCAGCAGAGCTCTCACAGACTTCTGCTCTCCAATCTGGCAGTGAGTGCAATCCTGGCCTCGGAACTGGAGTGGACCCGCTGCTCTCGGGTAACATCTAACTCTTCACCCTTTCTATCCAGCTGGCAGCGTGTCCACACATATCATCATTTTGCTAGGTGGGATGTGATGGCACAAGTCTGGGGTCCTAGCATTTGAGAAGAGGTGGCAGGAAGGCCAGTCTCGGCTCCGTAAAACTGTCTTCTTGTCCAAACAGACAACCAGGAAACAAGACATGTGATTGTCTGCACCAGTCTAAATGTGAAAGGCTCAAAGATAGAACAATCAGTAGCACCTATTGCTCAAGGGCCATTATTTCAGACTCCCAGCCCAACCCTGTCCTCACCTGCTTCAGCTAGTTCTGCACCCCAGCTCTATTAATGTCTAATGAAGTACCAAGTGAAGTGACCCCAAGCCTTGGGTCACTTTCCCACTGACCCATGGGGACAAGTTCCAAGTCCCCCAATGGAGGCCTGGAACAGAGATACTGCATCTGATATATATTATTACTGTTTAGTTGTTTTTTTTTCCCCTGCACCTATATACCAACAATAAACTTTAATTTACAAATCAGGTACAATACTCATTAACAACAATTAAATTAAATAAAAAAAAAAAAAAAAAAAAGTTGGGCAGCAGTGGTGGCACACGCCTTTAATCCCAGCACTCGGGAGGCAGAGCCAGGTGGATCTTTATATTTGAGGCCAGCCTGGTCTACAGAGCAAGATCCAGGACAGGCACCAAAATTACACAGAGAAACCCTGTCTCAAAAAATAAAACAAAACAACAACAAAAAAACAAAATAAACACCCTAATATACTATAATAAAGTTTTTTTTCAAGATTTATTTATTTATTTAATGTACACTAGTGTTTTGCCTGTATATTCTGTGTGAGGACATCAGATGCCCTGGAACTGGAGTTATAGGTAGTTGTAAGCTGCCATGTGGATGCTGGAAATTGAACCTGGGTCCTCTGGAAGACCAGTCAGTGTTCTTAACCACTAAACCATCTCTCTAGCCCCCAATAAAGGTTATTTTAAAAGTTACAAAGAAAAAATATTGTTCATTTCTCCAGTTTTCCATGCAATACTTTTAACTGATGATAACAGAAACCATAGATAAGGGGGGATGATTAGACATCGCCTCCAGGATTGTTCAGGATCCATTGCATATGGCACTTAACATTCAGCCAGAGATCTATTATATGTCTACTAAATTCAGTGTCTAGACTTTGAACAGGGTCTCATGAAACACAAAATTAATTAAAGTTTTATTGTTGTTGATTTAGGTATATACCTAACAAGAGAAATTTCAAATTCTTAGATACTGAAGAATGTAACATTTGCACACAAAGACACTGCCGTTGCTGCAAAATTGGCCTGCTCAACTCCTGACCCAATGGCCTGAAAAAGGCAGAATGGTACAGTCGGTTACCTGTGTTTCCCTTCTAAGATTTAGAAACCTGGGGCTGATGAGACCTTAGAGGTCATCCAGACCAACTTTCAGTTGCCCAGTAACAGATCTTTATCCAATATCACTAACAGGCCACCAAATCCTCACTTAAATACTTGCCATGGTTGAAAATCCATCACCTTTGGAGGCAACCGCAGCCATAATAATTTCTTGCTCACAGGAGCAAGCCTCCACCTTCCTGGGACCTCAACACACTAGTCCCAGGAACAATCCCAAGGCATTTTACTATTTCTTCAATATTGCAGGCCTTCAAATATTTGAAAGTAAGAATCTCTTAAAAAACTACCAATAGCCGGGCAGTGGTGGCACACGCCTTTAGTCCCATCACCCGGGAGGCAGAGACAGACAGATCTCTGTGAGTTCAAGGCCAGCCTGGTCTACAGAGCGAGATCCAAGACAGGCACCAAAACTACAAAGAGAAACCCCGTCTTGAAAAAACAAATACAAAACAAAACCCTACCAATATGGGGCTGGAGAGATGGCTCAGAGGTTAAGAGCACTAGCTGCTCTTCCAAAGGACCCAGGTTCAATTTCCAGCATCCACATGGCAGCTCACAACCATCTGTAACTCCAGTTCCAGGGGATCTGACACCTTCGCACAGACATGCAGGCAAAACACCAATGCATATAAAAGATAAAATTGAAAAAAAGAGTTCATTTAAAATCAAAACTGTTTAAACAAACAAAAAACACTACCACCCCACCCCTCCTCGACCTCTCAGGCCGCCCTTCAGCCCTGGCGTCCCAGCTCATTCACCCTTTACACATCCCAGGTCTGTCTCTAAGCACAGCTGCCTGGTGGCTGCTCGCTACTTCTGCTAATGTCTGCCTTAAAAGCCCACAGTCCAGGGGTTATTCAGTGAAACGTGCAACCCCAAACTACAGGAACTCCTCCCTTAACAGCCCTGTCACACTGGCCGTGCTGGGCTGTGCCCCAACCAAATGCCCAATCTTCTTTCAAAGATGCTGTCAAACCAAACCTTTCCAGACCTCCTTACAGAAATGGAAATGCGATTTTTGTTTTGTTTAATTTTTTTTTTCTTTATTTTTATTTTTCGAGACAGGGTTTCTCTGTGTAGCTTTGCACCTTTCCTGGAACTTGCTTTGTAGCCCAGGCTGGCCTCGAACTCACAGAGATCCGCCTAGCTCTGCCTCCCAAGTGCTGGGATTAAAGGCGTACACCACCACCGCCCGGCTTGTTTTTTAACTCTTATAGTTTATTTCTTTTTGCTGTTTGTTTTTAACACAAGGTCTTGCTAGCTCTGGCTAGTTTGACACTCACTATGCAGTCCAAGCTAACCTTGAACTCACTGCAAACCTTCTGCCTCAGCTTCCCAAATGCTGCGTTGACAGGTGTACACCTCCACCCCTGGCTTTTTAAATGCTGGAGTTCAAAGCTGTTCTAAACTACCTTCTAACCTGCCGAAGACTGCCTGAACCTGCAAATCTAGTACACACTCCATCTTGTGCCGTTACATAAATCTCTGACAGACGCTAGACCTGGAGCACTGTGCGTAGGGATCAAACTGCTTACTCGCCACGCACGGCCACAGCAAGAAGCATCCCCGGTCAATGTGTACAGCAGGAAACAGCTTTCCAAAGTGAAACGGTCTGGAGAAGAATTTCATTAGAAGACATTTCGCTGTGTCCAAGTAATAGTTCATCTTGCATCATTTATTCAGGAGGAATCACAACTAATTTGATTTGACCCTACAAATACACCTACAGGAAGCAGATGAGAAGTGTCATGGAAAGTGTCCAGCAACACAAAGTTGCTTTTAGGCATATTAGATACATAAGCAAAAGAGCATTCAGTAAAGCAAAATATATTTCTCAAGTAATACACACCCAAAATATACATTCCTGACAAGCTTTTACCACAATCAGTATCCACAACCAAAAATAACCATCCGCATCCAATGAACACATTTCAGCAATACTGACACTTTATATCTTAAAAATGTAATTAAATAGGGGAAAATACCAGAATTGGAGCTCCAAATGTTTTAACAGTCTATGACAAAATAAAATGAAGACTGTCCAGGTCTTAAAGCAATCTGCAAATCTGCAACCCCCTCCCCAAAAAAGAAAGAAAGAAAGAAAGGAGGGAAGGAGGGAGGGAGGGAGGGAGGGAGGAGGGAGGGAGGGAGGGAAAGAGAGGGAGAAAAAGAGAGAGAGAGGGAAAGAAAGAAAGAAAGAAAGAAAGGAAGGAAGGAAGGAAAGAAGGAAGGAAGGAAGAAAGGGAAAAAAGAAAGAAAAAGGAAGAAAGTAAATGTTTATTTGGGCATAAGGACATCCCTTAAGTCAGCAACCATCTCACAGCTCAACTCTCATAAAACCCCTCTCTAAAAACAGCCACAGTGAGCTACCAGTGAGCATTTGGTGATACGGTCCCTCAGCTCAAACCACTGAAAATACTTGTAAATATGAAATCCACGGTAGGAAACAGAAGCCCTGGGAAAGTGCTTAAAGAAGTACATTTTGGCCAGATGGCGGTGGCACACACCTTTAATCCCAGCACTCAGGAGGCAGAGGCAGGTGGATCTCTGTGAGTTCGAGGCCAGCCTGGTCTATAGAGCAAGTTCTAGGACAGGCTCCAAAGCTACACAGAGAAACCCTGTCTTGAAAAACAACAATAACAACAACAAAAGTACATTTTACTTAAAAAAAAAAAAAAAAAAAAAAAAAAAAAGAAACCTAACTCTTCTCCAAATTCCTTTTCCCAGATTATCTGCATTTGCAATAGGATTACATTGTGGGCTGGTGAGAGGGCTCAGCGGGTAGCAGGGGCTTGCCACCAAGCCTATCCACCCGAGTTCCATCCTAGAAGGGCACAGAAGTGGAAGGATAGAACTAACTGCCCTTGAAAGCTGTCCTCTGTGGCACACAGCCACACAAACAAGAGTAAAGAAAACCAAAGTTTTAAGTTCTGAATCATGAACGGTCAGAGGTCCTGCTAATCTCCACGTCACTTTAATTCTAGTGGATGAGAACCCAGTCTCCAAATCTAAAAGCAGGTTTATTATGCCAGGCAGTGGTTGTGAATGCCTTTAATCCCAGCACTCGGGAGGCAGAGCCAGGTGGATATCTGTGAGTTCAAGGCCAACCTGGTCTACAGAGTGAGCTCCAGGAAAGGCGCAAAGCCATACAGAGAAACCCTGTCTCGAAAAAAAAGAAAAAAGTAGGTTTGTGGCAGCCCCTTAAAAGAGAGTCCTATCAGCACTTGGGAGGCAGAGGCAGGCACATCTCTGAGTTCAAGCCAACCTGGTCTACAGAGTGAGTTCCAGGACAGCCATGGCTGTTACACAGAGAAACACTGTCCCCAAAACACAAAAGAAAAAGAAAAGAATCCTATCATGAAATGAATACACATGGCAGGCAAACACAGCATTTTAGAGGTGAGAGCATTGGGGTACAAACGACTCAAGAGCGGACTCTTCCTCCTCCGAATGTCAGCACAAGCTATGTGCCCAACGGCACTTACATCCTTGTTACTGTGGTTAGCGTTACCTGAGAGAAAGACACACCAGCTCCACAAAGCCTCAGTTTAGGGCACACACAGTCATCGTTTTCCCTTCAAAGACCAAGAGGGGAAAAAAAGAAATCCTAAAGACCTGTATCCTAGTCTTAAACAAACAACAGACGACCTTTGAGTCTCCTCTCCTCCCCAGTCAGAGGCACAAACCCCTCTCCTCCATTTAATCTCAAAATTGGCTGTCACGTGACACCAACCCACAGTTAGTTAGGCAGAAGCAGATGCAACCCGGCAGCTCTCTGCTGCAAGTGTTTAAAAAAGTATATACAGCCAGGAAGAGGACCGATCAGAAATCTCTAACCCGTGGCCAATCCTCAGCAAATACTGTTATCTACTGTGTACATTATCAACTGCAAAGTTTTTAATCCCGGCTGCTCTGTCTCCGCCACCCCACTGGTCCCACCCTAAATTGGCACAACTTAGAATACATTGAAAACCAATTTCATTTTGGCCTAAGCTGTATCAAACTAGATAGACAAATCTATAGGGAAAATGCATAATTTATTAAAAAGCCACATAAATATTATTTTCCCCCTGACTCAAAATTACCCCCACCACCTCTCTTTTGCAGAGTCCTAGTACTTGCTGGATGTGGACAGGACATTCAGTCACAACAAAAACCCTAAAATCATTATTCTCTTTCCTTTTTTTTCTATTAAAAACTTAAAAGTTGCCGGGCGGTGGTGTCATACGTCTTTAGTCTCAGCACTAAAGACGTATGACACCAGAAGCAGAGCCAGGCGAATCTCTGTGAGTTCGAGGCCAGCCTGGTTTACAGAGCAAGATCCAGGACAGGCAACAAAACTATACAGAGAAACCCTGTCTCAAAAAAAAAAAAAAAAAAAAAACCTTAAAAGTTAAAGTAAAATGCTGCCAAAAGGTAGCAAGTCATCCCAAATTAATTCAGAAGATTCATGCCACATCAAATTAATCCTTCTATTTTCTATGGTTATGAAGCATTTATCTTTAGCTAAAAAATATCAGCAAATGACAAGATTGGAATTTGCAGCCTTATAACCCTCTTTACAGCGTTCATTCCGAGTTATTCAACACAGATCTAAGGAAATGCTTGGTCCAACTCTGAGCTCTGAGTCTCACCGCATTCCATAAATTGACGCTGTTCAGAAATGTCCGAGGCAGCACATGGAGAGTGCAGATATCCCTCTCCAGGTCCTCTCGGCCAGCAGCAAAGCCTGTGGTGTTTTAAAACTAGTGTCACAACATTCGAGCCATGAGATTCCAGATGTGCCAAAAACAACGGTAGAAAAACAAAAGGTTAATAATAGAGTTTATTCTCTGATCATCCTGGGTTTGACTTGCTAATTTTAGCTCTCTTACTTTTAGAAGCCCCAGGATTTTTTTTTCAAAGTATATAAACTGAGTGAGCATCATCACATGCTAACAATATCTTCCACAATACAGCACAAGATGCTCACGGAAGAAACCTTGACTTCTTTCCTCCATTACCACCCACCACACCCAGGCGGCACAAGGCTTAAAATAGTCTCCCTGGTTTACAACCATCTACTGTCTGACATCAGACATCATCCACACGGAGTTGTTGGCACCTTACAAGTCCTGAAAACATCTATTTCCCTGAACATCTGCTTGAGTCCCATACAAGTAAACTGGGAGATGAGGTTATGGTACCAAAGAACAATGAATACGCAGTGACCAGACATCCCTGCCTTACACCCAGTCTTATGGCAAGTGCCATGGGAAAGGTGAAGCAGAGCCGACCAGAACATGCAGGAATCAACTAAGAAGTAACAAAATACTGCTTGGTAAGTCCTCAAAAAGCTAATAGAATTATCATGATCCCACAGGTCCACTTCATGCTAGATCCCTGAAAAACCTGAGAACAGCTTCTCCAACCAATACAAACAAAAACATGTTTTTAACCGCACTGTTCACAAGACCCAAAGGTACAAACAGTCCAAACATCCACTTATAGCAGAACGGATAAAATGTGGTAAAATAGTTCCATGATTATTCATCCACAAAAAAGAAAAATTAAGGACTGATATATACTACTACAATATGGATAAACAATGAAACACATTACACTGTAAAAGAAACTAAGCCGGGCAGTGGTGGCGCACGCCTATAATTCCAGCACTCGGGAGGCAGAGGCAGGTGGATCTCTGAGAGTTCGAGGCCAGCCTGATCTACAGAGCTAGTCTAGGACAGGCTCCAAAGCTACGGAGAAACCCTGTCTCGAAAATCCAAAAAAAAAAAAAAAAAAGAAAGAAAAGAAACTAGACACAGAAGGTCAGATATCCTATAACTACATTTTTATAAACATTCGTATTAAATGGGTAGTGGTAGCACATACCTTCAATCCCAGTACTCAGGAGGTAGAGGCAGGTGGATCTCTGTGAGTTTGAGGCCAGCCTGGTTTACAGAGTGAGTTCCAGGACAGCCAGAGCTACACAAACAGAAACCCTGTCAAAAAATAAAAAATAAAAAAACACCAAATAAAAATAAAAATAAAAAATTTATCACTAGGATTTATCACTTGCCAAGCGTTCAAGGCCAGCCTGGGCTACACAATGAGTCTCAGGCTAGCCTGAGATACTGACTGAGACCTTACCTCAAAAATTACAATAACATGTAATTTATGTAACTTCATAAATTAATAAAGAATGTTTTTTTTTTTTTTTTTTTTTTGGTTTTTCGAGACAGGGTTTCTCTGTGTAGCTTTGCGCCTTTTCCTGGAACTCACTTGGTAGCCCAGGCTGGCCTCGAACTCACAGAGATCCGCCGGGCTCTGCCTCCCGAGTGCTGAGATTAAAGGCGTGCGCCACCACCGCCCGGCTAATAAAGAATGTTTTTAAAAACTAAAACAAAGTCAGGCATAGTGATACCTGCTGTTGATTCCAGCACTTGGGAGAGGCAGAGGCAGGAGGATCTCTGTTAGTTCAAGGCCACCCTGGTCTACATAGTGAGTTCCAGGACAGCCAGAACTAGAGAATGAGACCCTGTCTCAAAAGAAAAAAAAAAAAAAAAACCACTCAGAAAACTAAAAAGAACTAGGGACTGGGGAATGTAGCTCCATTGGCAGAGTTGCCTGCTTAGCATGCACAAAGCCTTGGGTTCAATTCCCATCACTACATAAAGCCAGGCTTGCTAGCACAAACCTGTAACCTCAGCACTCAGAGACAGGAAAATCAAAAGTTCAAGGTCATCCTTGGCTACATGAGTTTGAAGTCAACTTGCTGGATCCCAAGATGGGACACCCTCCCACACAGGGTGCTTCAGTTGTACCTGGAGACACGAGGCTGAGAGCCTGACACAGTACAGCACGCCCGTACTCAATCCCAGAGTCCAGGGAGCCAGCACGGACCACACAGCAAGAGCGTCTCAAGAGGAAAATAAGTACAACAATACAGAACTTAGATACCTGCCAAGTCAAAGCCTTCATGGATCAGTGCAATCAACATCCAACACCCCAACAAATCCCACACATCTGTGTGGCTGGACACTTTCAGCTTTCTACCCATTTTGAAATTTATGTCCATTCTGTATTATGCTCATATGGCACTGACCAATTATACAATTCTTAGGAGCTGTCTTGGTTACTTTTTAGTTGCTATAATTAAAACACCATGACCTAGGCAATT